AGCTTTCACAAATTAAACTTACCTAGATCAGAGATTGTATTTCATCTAGTGCATAAGATGTCAGAACAAGCTGAATTATGTTGTGAAAATACTTACGTAGATTGAATTAGGAAAACACTTACATCATCTTGATATCATCAACTGCTAGTTTTTAATTTTACAGAAGTACACTGTATAAACGCAGCCGATCTTATGAATTATTACGAAATGTGAGCACAGCAATCTGCCTATAGTTGCCTCAAAAAGCGTTTGTTTCCCTTATTTGATACTCACATTGTTTTCAGAAAATTTTCCATTGGCCATGATTGTTTGATTATTCTTAAAACCATTGTATACACTAATATTTTTCAATAAATCCTTCCTAACAGATAAAGCGGGCCTGATAGCAAACACAAAGGAACCGCTGCATATCGATCAAATTATAGAATATATAGCAAATGCCCAACTGAGCGCGGCTTCGGAATGGCCACACTTCAGCCCCAAGAATGGAGATGTCTTTCTCTTCAGAGGTGTGGAGGAAAAATCCAAAGATTTCGTTTCTGATGGCATGCGGTGGATAAACCAAGGAATAAAAGTACTCCCGAAGCGTGTTACATAGCTGCTTCTACGTTAGCTGAAGCAGCAGTTACATAGCTGCTTCTACGTTTACTGAAGCAGCAGTTACATAGCTGTTTTTACGTTTGCTGAAGCAGCAGTTATGTCCGGTTGTCTTGCGTCACGACCATATCTCAGTAGCATTACACACGTCACCTTCTGTGAAGTCATGGTAGCAAGTCTTTATAAGCTCCTCAAGCATCCCATTTGGCAGTCTCAGACGAAACTGTGTCGCTGTCGGAGCCTGTCCTCTATAGTCTATACCCATCTGCTACAGACGGCGCTGACACTCTCCCATTCACTCGAGAGGGTGTTGGTATAGCTTTTTGATCTATTCCTGCCATAAACTTCGTGTTAGATTCTTTGCAAGTTGAATTTTGAAGGGAATACCTATGAAATTTACAGTTCACCCTTGGACGTCAGAAGACAAAGGTCGCCAAATGCGTTGGGTGTTGTTCGGCTCAGAGATTTTGCTGTAAAATAAGTTAGTTCGCTGCACGACAAGCGTTGTTTTGTGGTAGTAATGATGACTTTCTGTTATTGCTTCGTATGCGAGGAAGAAAGTGGACCCTGGCTTGCTGCAGGTATCTCATTGATACTTCAGCTGTGAATCAAGTGCTCCTCACTAGCTGTATTGTCATTACCGCCTTAGGTCCATGAAACGCACCCATAATTAGTTGGTAAGCATTGCACACTAAACTTCAGAACAGCTAGGCTGCTATGCTAGAAAAAATAAACCAACTGCTTGAAAAATATTTCTAATTGTTTTGTCAACTGGAAAAGATGCCCGACATGCAATGCGCTATAAATGGATGTGATGCAGATGACAGCGGCGCCATTCATGAGCTATCCACTTGTGTCGAAATATAAAGTAAGATATCACAGGAAAGAATAACAAAAGAAAACTATTAAACCCCCGACAAGATAAGAAAGCCTGACCAGCTGCCTTAGTTTTACAACCACTTTGCATTCTCGCCCAATTAAAACCAGTCTGCGTGGAGACCTCATTGAAGCATACAAGTATACTCTGTACTCGTGGCTTAATTATACGAGGTCCCAGAAGGATTACTAGAATTTGAAACAAGAACCAACACTAGGGGCCACGGCTATAAACTAAAAAAATATAACTCAGTGCTCACTGCAGTGAGTGACAGAGAGTACATTTTCTCGTCGACGAAAACATGAAGTCACGGACGGACAGACGGACGGACATGGCGAGCACAATAGTTTTTTTTTTCATAAATGAGAAAATGCGCTAAAAACTGCGTTGTAACACATCCATGCGACAAAATTTCTTCTCGCTTCGAGTCACCGACATGTGGAACAGCCTCCCTGGTAGCATCGTTGACGCTCCGAGTATGAACGCCTTCAAAAACAGACTAGACGAAGCTATGCAGGAGCATATGTTCAGTTTTAAAGTGCCTAGCAAATTACGGACCTAGGTAATAAGTCCAGCAGCTACCTCAATCAATCGTCAGTTATGGAAAGATCGGGTTCAAAAGTCCGGATCCCTTGTGAATCAAGTCACGAAAAATTCAAGAATCGGCAATAGGCCATGGGCCATAGTTTTACTTACACCTTCGAGTTATACAAGTTTTTTGCTGCTGAGCTGCTTTGAGCATCGAAACAGCTGTGTCGACCCATAGGCAACTCCTAAGTTGCTGAACATCGGCCTGTGTCGATGCTCAACAGCTCAAAACTTGCTTAGTGTTCGTGTTGATCGCCACTGTGTGAAGCCATGTCGCCGGTTATTGTTCAGCTGCCTCACCATCCGTTCGTTGAATAACAAGTTTCTTCACATCTGTCGCTCGGGCTCACTAGATGTTGTCTTCCTGACCGAGACCTGACACGACGCTGACTCGGTTTGCATCGCTCGTTTTTGCGCTGAAGGACTCCAAGTAGTTCAGCGCGCGCGGCCTCGCATGAAAGCCGACACCCTGGCCACGAATTACGGTGAGTAGCTACCGTCGCCAGTGGGGACGTGCACTACAGCATTCTTGACATCGGCGCCCGACCCACCACCTTTCAGCTGCTATGTGCTAGGGTCACATGCGCCTCGTACGTATACGGACGTTGCAGTCACCATTTATCGTGGATCGGTTGATGTGACGCGCGATTTTTTTTTGTCGTATTAAGCAATGTCTTAACCAGACTTGTGACTTTCCCCGATCATGTCCTTATCACCGGCGATTCAAATTTTCGACTGGATCGCGTCAACGAGTACGACTCATCGGCTCGTCAGCTGAACTGCTGAACGACATTCTGTCGACCTTCTGCATGGTTACTCACGTAACCTTGCCGACGTACGACATGAGCGGTCTGCTGGACGTTGTCATCACGCTAACCCTTCTTCAAACGCAGTCAGTCGACATAATCGAGATTGCAATATCCGACCATCGAATACTTCAGCATACGGTGCCATGAGGGCACCCGGTGCCAGCGTACAAAGCAGTTATATACTTGTATTCCGTGGCGCGGTCTCAACGGCGACGTCGACTCATGGTTGGCATTATCAGTCAACGACCTCATGCAACTCTACAATACCGAGTTGGCCTGAGCACCCGATGACCTCATTCCTGCACGCAGAGTTCGAGTACCCCATCGAGTCTCCGACTCATGGTTCGAAGATGAATTTCGGGTCTCAAAGGGGGGGGGGGATAGACTGCCCTAGCGGGCTATCGCAGCTATCTTGCTGCTGCAGCTTCTATGGCCTCCACCTGGCGAGATGCTTGGCGCCAACGCAACGACCCTCGAGCGCTGTGTCGTTTGCTGTATAAACTTATGGGAAGAGGTCATGCAGATGCTTCGGGTGACGTAATCACGGAGGAATTCCGTACGGTTTTTTTGAGAATTAAATTTCTGCAGTGCGAATTTGGTAGCCGATGCTTCGTCGGAAACATTTGCGCCGTGCCCGTTCGCCTGCGTGCTCCTAGAATTCACTTGCACCACAGCTCGCGATGTCATCGCTACAGTGCGCGCGCTGCCAAACAAGCAGTGTGCCAGCGATCCACTGCCGACGTCATTGCTTACGGAGTATTTTGTAATCCTAGCACCTATCATGGCCAAAATATCAACCGCTGCCTCACTGACGGTATTGTCGAGGAGTACTTCAAATCAGCTTACATTACGCCTCTTTTGAAAAAAAACTCTCCAACCTTATCGACTCTTCTGCAACATGTCGATTTTGTAGAAATTCCCGGAACGCGTTGTGGCCCGACAGCTGAACAACCAACCATCTTCAGCAGTTCGGTCTCATGCCTTGCCTCCAGTCTGCATACTAGCATACTATCATCTCTACTCTATGGAAACCGCTGTGCTGAAGGCGCTTTCAGATACTCGGCAAGCAGTACGCGATCATCGACCACGCCACTTTATTTGTCGACTTAACGTATCTTTCAGCCTGCACGGCGTAGTGCTGCGGTTGTTCGAGTCTTATCTCAGCAATATATTCCAATGCACTCGATGCAAGAACTCTTCTTCAACGCCATCGTTGTTCACTTGTGGCGTACCACAGGGATCAGTTATCGACCCAATCTTCTTCCTGTTATATACTGTTGACGTGTTGGACATAATTGATTCACATGGTTTAAATCCGCATATGTTCGCCGACGATGCCCAAATTTATGGTCACTGTGTGCCAGCTGACGCTGCAGCGTTGCAGGACCGGAAGTCTGTCTGCATGGACGCAGTCTCAGACTAGATTTCGCTCCAACCGGCTTCAGCTCTGCATTGGTAATAACTAGTTATATCCTGATTTTGAAGCGAATCCGTTCGTAATCGAAGGATTTATGAATGGGACAGTTACGCAAATGTAGCGTTCCAACGTTTTAATAAAAAACGAAATTAGATAGAAATCTGTTATAATTCCTTTCACGCCGTATTGGTAATTAGTTATATTCTGAATTTGAAACATATCTGTTCATAATTTAATGAGTTGTGTTTGGGACAGTTGCCCGGACTAATTCGAGTGCGATTTCACTGGTGAGTTTGAAGAGTGTCGAATGGCGATCCAGTGTTTAATTAAATGTCGCCTTCAGCTCCTATTTGTCGATCCAGTGTTTGATTGTCGAGTTCAGCTCTATCCTCTCGAAATTATAAATAGATGGGCCTGTCACCTCATGTTATTTGTCTTTTCTTGTGTCAATTTAGGTTTTTATCTTCAATGTGAATATCAGTTTTCTGATTGATTCTGCTTGTCTTGTTTGATTTAATAATAAAATCTTTAATTTCGAAGTTAAATTATATATAATTATCATCGTGCTAAAAAAACGTTTTTCGTAAGCAACAAATATTGCAACTCAATGAATAAGGAGTGGGTTACAGCCTTGAACTAAATTTGTTAACCATTGTTCGGAACTTCGGAATATTAACCCTTCAAAACTCGTTAGAAGCCCGTTCAAAACTCGTTACGCACCCGAGGTTCGTTTCGTTCAATCCACTGCGCGGTTCTCCGTCGAATCTCCGAGATAATGCGAGATTCTTTACTCTCAAACACGTGAACAAGTCGATCTGCAATTGGAGGAGGCAGCTTTTGGTATGTATTTCTGTTTCTATAAACGTAGCTATATCTATATGTATTGTAATTCCCCGAAAAATAGTTTCATAAATTCATTTGTGGGTAAAATAATTCATTTGTGGGTAAAATAATTCATTCTAGAATAAAATTGTTGGGCTGTAGGCTAATTGAATCACTCCTCTGAGTCGAAGATTAGGAGTTGGAGTTTTATTGAATTTATTTATATATTGAATCACTCCAGCACAGAATGCTGTGCTCAGTGTGCTGGCAATCTAATTTAGGAGGACTAATAAATTTAACATTCTCATCATTATCTCATGCACTGATGCACATGCAGAGATGCCAAGCTTTGCATTTGTCAAAATATACTTTCATTTTTTTATGCCTATTGCTGTGTGGAAGAAATTACTGAATTCTGAAATGTTATTTGATATGTTGAAAATCTGTCAGACAGTCAGAGCATGACACATGAGTTGCAAGAATGGTGAAGAACCTAGGCTAAAGGCTTGAATTTTGAAAGCATTAAACCAATAAACATGGACAAGGAGTCAAGGACTGTGCACTGTACTGACTCAGTCTGACTGTAGAGTCCATGAGTCCACTGTCCATGACCAACCTTATTGCTGCCTAAAGTTCTATAAATTGCAGAAAATCTAGTTATACTTAATCATCTTATAGCTTGGCAGCCGCAGCATTCCAGCAGATGCTGCTCTCACTCTCAGTGCTCTGAACTTGCTGGGGCTGGCCACTGCTCAGCTCATAAAAGATATGCACACATTGACTCATAGTCATAAAAATACTTATCATATCATCATGATCAAATAATGATCAGAAGTTTATTCAGAACTACCGTCAAACAGGGTAATAAGTAAATAAGGGACGGTTTTGAGCGTTTTTCCTTAATAACTTTAAACTTCTTGCCATGAAACATTTCATAAACGAGTTTGGAGTAATTTTAAAGGTATTTGCGAGGGCTATTGTATGGCATCTTTGAAAAAATTCCATATGCTATTTGTAAGGTGCCAGATGCAAAATAAAAGCCTCCTGACTCCTGAGCCTGTTTTTACCCTGGGAATGGGGTAATAAGGGACACTCAAAATACAACTCATTTTAAAACATTTGAAGCATGCAGATTGCAGAGTGTACTCATCCTGTCATCCATTACTAACAATACTCTGAAGTCTTCTTCTTCCTCCTTTGTAGTTTGTAGATGATGTAGATGTAAAATAAATTATATTTTCTGTGATTTTTACTTGTTTTTCCTTTATTGATATGATATTACCATTCTCCATATATTACTATATTAGTATTGATGTGATATTACCTAATCCATGGACATGCCATTGAGCATTGACAATAACCTTGTCCCCTGCAAGCTTCATATCAGCTGCCATGTAGCATTTCTTCTGTAGGTAAGCTTACAGGATGTCTTGTAATTTTGCATCATTTTAATTGAGTCAAGTGAATTCACTATAACAAAAAAGATTGTAAAAAACATACCGTAAAATGGGGTAACTTTGACCACTTTTTTTTCAAAATGATGCCATTTTTTTACTAGATAAGTTAAACTTAAATTGAAACATGCAAAATACAAGTCTATACTCTAGCTTTACTTACCATAAATTGCTGGCTCCTGCCTCTCATAGTTTTGATGTATCCCCAAATGGGCAAAATGTGACCACCTAATGGCAGCCGTGATGGGGTGACATAGACCGGTTTGGAAATTCAGTTAAAATTACCATATATAAGACTCTGTACAGTCTGAAACATAAAGAAAAAAACATTAATAGGTATATCAAACATAAAATATGTTATATAGGTACCTATGGTAATTTTAACTTAATTTCCAAGCCGGTCAATGTTACCCCGTCACGGCTGCCATTAGGTGGTCAAAGTTACCCCATTGGGGGGTGACGCCCCCATTTGCAAACTATGACACTTTTCTCAAATTTGTCTTTTGCATATGTAACTAGAAGAGTTCTACTACAAAGCATCAAAACCTGGAGTTATTTTACCAAAAAATAAAAAAAATTGGAGGGGGTACTCCCACAGGCTTTAAATAATAGCTCTTTTTTGTGGGTCACATTTTTAATTTTTTAACCTATTAGATATGCAAACTTTTTAAATCTTTCTATTGTGTTACGTAGCTTCAGTATTAGGCCTTTGATGGCCATTGACAAAATTTTGTTGAATCGAATCGTTTTTGAGTTTTGGGGGTTTTTGTTAAAAAAACGAAAAGTGGTCAAAGTTACCCCGCCGGTCAAAGTAACCCCATTTTATGGTACCTGAAACACAATATTACATATTATTATTATTACACAATATTATTATTTTTGTGTATAATACACAAAAATACATATTTTTGTGACAACCATCATATTTTTTGAAAAAAAAAATTGTGGTTTAGGTTAATCACTTTTCATTCTATGTTGCCCGGTGCACAATTGTATCTATGACTTTCTATGCACAGTTTGGTGATGACTGATGATGCCCTAATTTTTTTTTGTCAAGTGAAATTTTTTTGCTGAGCAAGGTAAAATAATCAAAATTCTTTGTTTTTAATTTATTATTTTTTTTTTTTTGTTAACTGGAGCCTTTGCTAACCAAGGCTCTACTGTAAATGTGTTTTTAGGGGTGTCTCTTATTGCCCCGTCATGCAGAAATGACTGCATTTTTTTCTGGAGTGATATACTCCAATTCTGTCAATCACATTTTTAAGTCAACACCTGTGTGCAACTTTTATGTGAGTAAAATTTTTTAATAAGGAGAATTTTTTTTTGCTTCAGACCTTAGCAGAGGTACTTTTTCAAAATCTCAATTTTTACCCTTTTTTTCAAGGATTTTTTTAGAGGTAGTAAATGAACAATTTCCTAACTTGCTTTATGCTACATAGATAGGAAAACTGTTGAACTTTATGCCACTATTTTTTGTTTTGCAATATTTTAATTAGCTTAGCTGCTACATTATTTCTATGGAATGTTGGAGCACTGTCCCTTATTACCCCGCCCGTCCCTTATTACCCCATTTGATGGTAGATTTTGTAAGTTTCAATTACCACAATGAGATATATAAATATCTGTTTCAATCTTGTTAGAAAGTTTGTAGCATTTTACTTTTGTTTATAAAGTACATAGATTATTTCTAATGAAGATTATCAAAATTATTGCTGTGGTGTATTGAGATAGTTGGGTAGCATTGATGGTGGTAGTATAGTTCTATGATAGTATTTCTAGGTGTTTTTATTGATTAAACTAACTATTTAAAGTACTATTGACAGTCGCAGAGCTCTGTAAATCAGAGGGATAACTGTAATAAGTTTATTCAGAAGATTCCAATGTTAATCAGATCAGAATGCTGTTACTCTAGAATTAAAGTGATCATGTATGATGGTATTCATTTTTAAATATTGTTTTGAAGGCAAACTTTTTATTTGCTTCTTATGTTATAATTAAAACTTTGGAAGTGTTTTTGCCTGATTCTAATTGATAATGCCCACCGGAAAAATGAGGTTGAAGATTTGAATCCAATGTTTTATTGAATCAACGTTGATTAAACATTGTTTCAACATTATTTACTTGGTAGTATGGGGTAGTAAATTGCATGTGTACATTTATACATTTCCCTGACCCTGAGGATGCTGAATTAATTCCCCCCTCCCCACTTTGCACTCCTTTTTTAATTTTGTACTCTTATTTTTTCAGATGGGCTGAGAAGAATGAATGTACAAGCTCTCTGCAACGTGTGTGAGAACACATTCAATAGTACCACTCACAAGCCTCTAGTCTTGCAGTGTGGTCATACTTATTGCCTAGCCTGTCTTAAAGACATCGAGACTTCGGGCAAGAAACTATGTCCGTCATGCAGAGAAGAGTGGCGGGGCAACTCGAATAAGCTACCAATTTGCTACATGCTGATACCTGGTGCAAACATGGCACCTAAAGCTGCTGGTGATGCAACTGGCAATAAAGTTGACTATAACATGTGCTTGTTGCACTCGTGCACCATAGAACACTGGTGCTGCCACTGTCAAGTTGCCACCTGCAAAAAGTGCATTTCTGAGATGCATTATGCTCATGGACAGGTTGCTTTTGAAAATGTTGTTGGTCAAGAAATTGACATAGAACAAATAAAGCAATCATTAAATGGAAATCTTGGGAACAAGTTTAAAGAAGGCCTGAAAAATTCAATCAGCCTATGCAATGAAGGACTGGCATTGATGGAGTCAATGAAAGAGATTGAGACTAAGCTATTGTCATGGAAGAAACATCTCCTGGCTCAAGAAAAGAATTTGTCAGCTTGTATGGAGGATTTAGAAAACACAAGCGAAGCAGCATTGAAAGCAAAGTTTGATGCCTTCTTGAAAACAATGTCATGGTGTGATGTGGTTAAAGAAATTCTTTTATCAGAATTCCAATTACCTGCACTGAAAGTAGATGACTTTGGTGGAGGACTTCAGGTAATTATTAATTTACTGACATTTAAGTATTAGCACCTGTACCCTTCTCAGCATTTATGCTTCTTGAATCAAATCATTTAATTGGATTTGGTGTCATTTTTACAACACTTCTCTTTAACTTCACTTCTTGTTTGTCTGTCTGTCTGTCTGTCTGCTACAAATCTTATAATCGAAATTTAACACACTCTACTTATCCTATCGATCTGAAATTTTGCACACTTGCGTAAAGTTGGAGACAATGCATGAATCAAATGACAAAATAAATGATTTTAAAAATTATGTTTTTTTTCATTATTAAAAAAATTGAAAAAATAATTTTATCAGGCACAAATCTAATAACTGATATTTGACACACTTTTACCTGTCAAATTGATCTGAAATTTTGCACACTAGTGTGAAGTCGGAGGTAATGCATGAATCAATTGACAGAAAAAATAATTTTGAAAAAAATTTTATATATTAAAAAAATTGAATTTTTTTTAATAATCGAAAATAAAATGAGAAATTTATTGTACATCTTTAACATTGGAGACACTGGATTCTTCAGAAGTGTTGTCTTTAAAAAGTAATATTTAAACATATATTTTTTAAAGTTCATCTACAATATCACGGGAACAGGCAAATAGATCATAAAATTTAAAGATTTGCACACTGACAACTAACTTTAATATATACCTGTTACTTACGAGTGTAATTCAAGTAGAGGGTTCTGTATTGATGAGTAAATAAAAAGAAATATCAATGAAAACCATGTGTTACTTTAATTTTTATTAATGGCAATTTATCTAAATACTCATAAAAATTGCCCTAGAGATTTTTTGTTTGTTTAACAAATAGCCCTTGTCCTTGTACAAACATATCTGACATCATGCCATTGTATCTTAGGCTCTTGCCTAGCATCCAGCATTTGAAGCTAATTGGTTTCTTGAAGTAGAGTTTTAATGTTACTTTTTCTTCATGACTAATACTGGTTTAAAATATTTTTATAGTCACTAAATGAAGATCTGGAAGCTGAGAAGCGACACCTGCTGCCAAAAGAGTTACCAGCATTGGCAAAAAATGTTTCCATTAATGGAGAAAGAATGAGCAAGAAAATTTTGCAAGTACGGCCAATTATTCCAGTGGGTGACAAGGCCACAGTCACAGTGGTATCCTCTGTGGAGGACCCCATCACTAGCCTGCAGGATCTTCTCTTATACCTGATGAATGGTCGCACTGTTATACACCTGCGGTTGTTGGATTCTTTTTTCAATGGGAACAGCAGCAGTGCAGATGATTTCATCAGACTGCAACTTTTCTTGCACAAAAAATTTGGGTAAATGTAAAACCAGTTTATTGCCAATTAAATTCTTTCAAATATGATTTTTAGTGTACATCTAAAAACTGTCAATCATAAAGTGAATTCACGTTGCCAACATATCTTGGTATTGATGCAACCTAGTGAAATACTGTGTAAGTTAAACCAAAATAACTAGAATAAATTTCTAACAGGGCACACCTAGCATCGTTCTATGGTCACCTTGTATACTCCACTTGGGCAAAGATTGATGTTGGATTGCCCCAACTTGGGCTGCACCTCCAGTCTGGAGCTGACGTGGCTGATGTCAACAAGATCCTGAATGACAACTTTGATGTAAAGAACGTTAAGCCCGGTAGGTTCAATGGTAGAGCAAATAGCTTCAATTTTTTAAATGCTGTTATCAATTTCATAAAATATGCAACTTGATTTGAAAACAATAATAGATTTATGCTACTTCAAAGTACAATCCTCTACATTATCCCATGCCGATAGTGGCATGTGATTCAAAGGTTCTACTTAAAATGTTCATATTTCCACAAATTTACAGTTGTACATAAAACAATGAGTGAATTAACTGGTCACTGTTATGCTTAGTCTGTTGGTGGTTAGTTATTATTTTTGTACTATGTTACAGGAGAATTAACTTGTAATCCAATTTAACTTAGCTGTGGATGCTGAATTGGTCCAATAATGGTGTATGTAAAAGATGTATCATATAAATTAGATTATTCGGGATTTAAAGGCGTGCCGAGAGTGTCAATAAATAATAATTATTATTTAGCAGATATCACTGTAAAATTTAATGTGATAGAATGGAATTTCTAGATAACAAATTTTAAGTTTGGGAGTGAGAAGCACAAGCAGTTGATGGCTCACAAGCTCATCAGGCTGCTGAAAGATATTAAAATACTAATAAACTCCACTGCAGTAACATTAGAATCCTTTTATTGTATGTTGTGATAATCTATCACATCAAAACTTGGATAAGTAATTAACAGACAGGATTTTCAAATGAAGTTCTAATTTAAACACACAAGCAAGTTTTAACTTTCATTATGAGGAATGAAAAATTTTCATACACTTTTATCACCTTAGATCTTGAATATAATATCATTTCAGTATCGTTTTTACGTGTTGGTACGGTATAACAATTGGCTTGTATTGAAAGTGCAGGTTTGTGAAGAAAATCAAATTCGAAATTGTGTCTAGTGTACCGTAGTAGACTTAATTACAGAACATGAATAAAAATGAATTGATAGCATCGTTTACACCAACGTAATGATTGTGAAACAGCACACAGGAAACTGCTGCGGTGACTAGAGTGGAAGCTGAATTACCACTTCTTCAAATGCAGACCTAAATATGAGAATTAAGATAAGCAGAGTAACTTGTCTGAACGCTGGCTATAGCTGAACTGACTGCCTGAACTCTAGCTAAACTCATGGTTGAACACGAGCTGAGCTTGTTCAACCATGAGCTGAACTAGTTCAACCATGAGCTGAACTAATTCAACCATGAGCTGAACTTGTTCAACCATGAGCTGAACTAGTTCAACCATGAGCTGAACTTGTTCAACCATGAGCTGAACTAGTTCAACCATGATTGTATAATAGGGTGGGTCAATAGCATGTGTATAATAGGGTGTTTCAATAGCATGTGTATATGTAATAGGGTGGGTCAATAGCATGTGTATAATAGAGTGGGTCAATGGGATGTGTATAATAGAGTGGGTCAATGGGATGTGTATAATAGAGTGGGTCAATACCAGCTGAAGAATAGGGAAGGTTATTATGAGCATTGAACTTGGATGATTATCAGTAGGAACTGTGAAATGGGGCGGATCAATACGGCTGCAAAATAAGATTGGTTAATACAAGTGTCCTGATAGAGTTGATTAATACAAGCTGCAAACTAAGACGGACTAATACGAGCTGTAAAATTCAGCGGGCAATTAAGAGCTGCAAAATAAGACAGGCAAATACGAGCCCTTAAAGTGGGCATACATAAGCTGCGAAATAAGGTGGGCATATACGAGCTGCAAAATAAGGCAAGTTAATAGATGTGCAAAATAAATGAGGTGGTTTAGTTCAGGCTGCAAGAAGTGAGTGTGTTTATGCAGGCTGCAAGATGGGTGATGGTGAATACGTCAGAACTTGACGGGAACTGAAATATTGGTGGCTCAAGCCTCAAACTTGATTCAAATAAAGAGAGGGAAAATTTGTGGGCCTTGATGGCCTCACCAAAACACCTGAGCACCTTGATGGCCTCACCAACACACCTGAGGACCTTGATGGCCTCACCAACACACCAGAGGACCTTGATGGCCTCATCAACACACCTGAGGACCTTGATGGCCTCATCAACACACCTGAGGCTGTCTCTTATACACATCTAGATGTGTATAAGAGACAGGAACTAGTTCAACCATGAGCTGAACTAGTTCAACCATGAGCTGAACTGACAGCCGACCTAAACTACCACTTTTAACCAACGGGACACCTTGAATTCGACCTGAAATGCAATAACCAATTTTGAACACATTGTATTTTTTAAGTGACAAAAAAAAACTTTCGATGGTGTTAATAATTTCCTCCAGAATGTGATAATTGAAAGTAATTTGCTTGCAGCTCCCGGCGAACACTCGAGTAGCAATGGAGCCTCGGCTCTGATGACCGGAGAGCCGTTCATAGCAGGTCAGTTCTTAATTGAATTTGAAATAAACGTTTAAAATGTTCGTAAGGTTCTGCCTCCTTGACATTTTAACTGGAATAATTATTCGAAACCTTCATTGCTTGCAAGTCCCCCATTTTTAATTTCTGATGGACGTCTGCAATTGGACAGAGTTTCAAGGAAAATTTCAAAACACGAGATGATATGACTAATGGAAAGCTAAACTATAGGAAAAATGTATTAATTGTTATCTCCCCACCTATAACATGCACATATTTCGATCCTGGATGTATGAATGAGAAGCAGCTGTTATCCGTCAAATTTCCAAAATTACCAACATATTTGCAGTCATTTGCGAATAAGCCATAGCATCTATGAGAGACTTTTTTATCCCGCTATTAACATTGTTTCCATTTGCTTGTCATTTTCATTCGAATTGAAGTAAAATTATTGGATATAGATTGAGAAAATAATTATTCATATGATTCTTTTATTTTTTGTGACTTGTTCACAGAGATCTAAGAACTGGATTTTGATCAGATATTTTCAAACTAATGCCCATGCAGATATTGCCATCAACAAAAGCATCAATGAGAACGATATCGTGGCGCGCCTGGAGCTGAAGACTAACAGGCTGTACCGACTGCACTTGGTGAAACTGGAAGATGGAGACTGGGACAGATGCAGCGGCGTGGTCAGACGTTTGCTCTCATGCACTCTCAATGGCAAGCTGTGAGTTACTTATATGCTTTTTGAAGCAGTGTGTTCTGAAGCAGATTAGTGACAATTTCATGCTTCCGGTAGTAATTTTCACTCTATGCCTATATTTTCCACTATATATTATATTCCGATATATATTTCTCTTTATATTCACCGCTAATCCTGTAGATAGAAATGTGCGTCGAAATAAAATGTAAAAATTTACCTAGAGCAGTAAGTTTTCATTCGCATTTCATACCAACTGTTTTACGGAAATATAATTAATAAATTTATTATGACATTTTTACTATGCTCTGAGCCAAGTAAAAAATGTCACTGAAGAAATTAATTTGGTGCAAATTACTTGGAATGTTATTTTACGTGTTATTTTTTACAACACTTCTCTTTAACTTCACTTCTTGTTTGTCTGTTTGTTTGTCTGTCTGTCTGTCTGTCTGTCTGCTACAAATCTTAAAATCTATTTTTAACACACTTCTACCTCTCCAATCGATTTGAAATTTTGCACACTTGCGTAAAGTTGAGACAATGCATGAATCGATTGACAGAATAAATTTTTGAAAATAATTTTTTTTCAATATTAAAAAAACTGAAAAAATAATTTTGTCAGCTACAAATCTTATAATTAATATTTGACACACTTTTACCTGTCCAATTGATATGAAATTTTGCACACTTGCGTAAAGTCAGAGACAATGCATGAATCAATTGACAGAATAAATAATTTTGAAAATTTCATTTCTTTTATGTACTATTAAAATAATTTAAAAATTAATTTTTTAATAGTCGAAATTAAAATTAGAAATTCATTGTACATGATTTACATTGGAGACACTGGATTTTTTAGAAGTGTTGTCTTTAAAAAGTAATTTTTAAACGCATATTATTTTTCTTCAATATTGTAATAAACGATTTTGCACGAATTTGTCCTTGTGTCATACATGTGATATCATATGAGCAAATAACGACAAAATCGTTGACACCGGCTTTATGTGTTATTATTGATGCACGTTCAGCAATCATTTGCAATATCCATTTTTCTTTCAAATCCTGACATCATTTCTTGCCTCAGGGACCACGAACTTTGGATCCACGATTGCAGTGGCTTATCAGCAGGCGTCATGGCGCAAGTTGCGAATTATTTGTACAATAACACGAGTATTGGCACACTGAGAATGAATAATCATTCAATGGAGGAAGCCCAGCAACATGAGGTGGCTGCACAATGCTCTCAATGGCACACCACCATACATTTCAGCATTCCGTCTTTTTAAAGTTTTCTGTCAACCGCTGGGAAACCTGAATGTTAAGTAAGGACGTACGTAAGTTTTCTACCGCTATGTTTACATTAAGATCGTTTTTTCATCTACTCCTATTTTTGATGGAGATTTTTTATTAAAGTGATAAATTTAGTTAAAGCTTAATGTTTAATATTTCGTTGGTAAACAATATTTCATACATGCCTACTAGCAGGATTTCAAACTCTAGCAGGTGAGACTTGTAGCTGAAATTTCGTTTTTAGCAATCTTTAGTGTTGTTAAATTGACTTATGTGCGGTATCAACATTTCGATATGCGAAGCAGCCTGAAAAAATTTTTTTTCAACTGTGAATTTCGGTGGATACGTTCACCTGTCTCAAACATTTGATCAGAACACGCTTTTTTACTGTCAAGCGTTCTGCTGCGAATTAGAATGTAAGTTTGATCAACTGGATGGTTTAAGTTTGTTTCTAAGTAAAGGCATTAGCTCCTAGAATCTTAAAAATCAACCGCTAAATATTTTTTTGTGAATGAAATGGATATTATGGTGCCAATAATTAATCAATATTCTCAGTTCGTGTTTGGATTACTTTTTTTTCAAATTTGCTTTTTGCTTTTCATTGTTCCCTTCTTTATGTACTGTTATTTTTGATTATTAGTACGCATTCAGACTGCAATCATCTTTTCATTTTTATTCTTGTTGATTTTTATTCAATTAATGTTACAAAGCTTGACCGGCAACTCGAAAAATTGATCTTAACTAATAATTTTCATCAACTGTCACACTGATAAGTGCATGGTTTCTTAGTTCAAAGTTCAACCGTGGATAAGTGTTTCTAAGAACAACGAGCGTCACTTCAATAGGGGCGAGATGGCAGAAGAGGCAAGCGAACATGTCCCTGTGGCTGAAGCTCATTCATTATTATTATTCCTTGGGAAACCGTGATGACGTGAAGCCGCGGTAGGTGAAGCGCGTTATAGCGAAGAATTACTGTAGTTGCCATCAAATGGTTGTGTGCTGTGACATGGATTGTAGACGAGCGATCATCTCGATATGGTTGAGAGTACGGCATATGGTTCAAAATGAACGGGTCCAGAGCGTGTAATCGTTCAACTCGAGCTACTGGCAGAAGAGGCAGGCGAACAGGTCCCGGTGGCTGAACCTCCGCTGCAGTCACGGGTACATTTGAAATATTCTGCAAGCGACGTGAAGAACACGATGAGTAGCGAGATTTATTTAATGATACTTGATTAGGACGATGTCAAATGTTTGTTAGAAAGCACTGGAAATTCAAAAACATCCTACCGGCTATTATGTCATTCTCTTCTGTCTCTTTAGATAAATTCAAAGTTTAGACCCGAATCAGTTTTAAGCGTATTTATTCTAGAAAATTCCATTTTACTCGCGTAGTGTCAATTAATTCACAAATTGCATCCGACAGTCGTAACGCGATCAGGATAACTAACTTTAGGCTATGGAGTGAGGTTCAACAGCAATTCATTCAACTGAAGCGAGGAGAAAGTAGTACTGTAAATTTTTACATGGATATTGCCCTACCACTGCTCGGAAATAAGGCAGTCTCCTGAATACTGGATCATTTGAATCGAGATGAGGTATGAAAAATGGAAGTCCATACAAACTAACAAATTCATTAATACCCTAAAGAAACGGCAGAAAATTAACATTAACCGATTAGATACTGGGGAAAGTAATGCAAGAATAAACCGAACTCTGTCATGAAGTGAGAAAAATAATACAAAATAGGCCCTGATTATGCTACATTGAATGTCCCACTGAATCTATTTGGAAGGAAGATGTTTAAAAATATTCTGATACACGGTTATCAATACGTTTGGAAGTTGGATGACTATAATATTAATTCCAGAATGTTCAGTTTGAATTGGTGGGTTTAATCTAGGTTTTGATTTGGAGAGGGTTTGTACGGTGAAGTGATCGATTAAAAGCAAAAATAAATGGTGAATCATATTTGTAATTGAAACTTCAGTTCCCAACAGCTAGAAAAAAATTTATTTCAAATTATTTTGTTAACTGGAAAAAGTGCCCGTCATCCAAGGCGCTCTAAATAGATGGCATGCAAGTGGCAGCTACGAGATATCAGTTCTGGGTCAAAATCTAAAGTATGTGATCAAAGGAAAGGATAAAAAAAGAACATCAAGCCCTCGATAAGATAAGAAAGCCCGACTGGCTCCCTTATTTTTATAACCACTTTGTGTTCTCGAAATTGCAAAACCCGTTCCACAAACAAATAATCTGCACGCTCAGCATAGTTACCTATGATCAAGTCCAGCAGTAATGAGTAGCTCGTGTCTTCGGGAGGTAGAGACTGTCGGACTACATTGCTTGTCACTTCCAGTAGCTGGCCACTTCCATGCAAGACTCGATGAGAAGGAGCTTGTCTGTCGTCCCGATTGTTTTCAACGACCGCACGAAGTTGCATTGCACTTTAAAATCCAATTACAAGAGATACAACATCTGCGGAGTCAATGCCTGCTTTGTTTTGATTGCAGAAAGTGGTTCTTTCATTCCAAAGACACTCTGAACACACATGTATGTAAAATTCCAGCGGGTGATATTTGCAGCGATGAACTTTTTTTAGACGAACTCTGTAACCTCTGACCCCATGGCAAGACGATGGTTCCTGTTCATAAGTGCAATTACAGCCTTGATCCTGTCAATGGACTAATTACTCTTGTGCGTCCTTCCTGCTAGCTTTTGAGCACGAGTGAGCACATGGTTTACTGTTATGGTGGCGTCGACAGTGTCCTTGATGACCAAATTTAGCGTATAGTCCACACAAAGCAAAGAATTGTCAATAAAGTCGCACTAGGAGTTGTAGCTTTGACATTGGCACCATTGACACTGGAACTGTTCCTGGTGCGAGATCGGCTACCCTAGAAATTAATATAAAATCAACCAAAGTATCATCATCAGGAATTCAACGCAATCAAGTATAAAATAACTGTAAAAATCAGAAATTACCACAAAAAAACGTTAAGGAATCATATCAAAGCCAAAAGGTTTGTTTTATTTTACCATAATATGACCTAGAGTCTGCATTTCTCTAGAGTAAATACTTTCATGAAGTAAAGTTCTACACTTGAGACGCAGTCACCGCACACAACCGTGCTCTAAATATGACGATGCTGACATAATTATCGAGGGAGTGGTATGGAGAATTGGCCTTTTTATTATAAGCTTTAACAATTACTTTAATGATCTAGTGTTCAAAAACCGAAACTTTCTCGCCAGACTTTCAGCTACGGGACACATCGAAAACATGAATGCCATCAGAGGATGGCATATATATGTATATATATTTTGAACGTTCTAATTAATTAAAATTCAAAGCTAATGAAAATACAGCTAAAAATAGCCGTATCATTTTATTTAACATTTACACACTATTTAGAATAAGGTGTAGACTTTATTTCGTTAGAAGATTATGCTGCCTATTCTTATCAATTTATTTTCTTTTCAATTATTTTAACAGAATTTTATCGACACCAATCATAATAATTATAAAGGCGAATGAACTGCAATTACGTACAAACGCTGAGTACAATTACAGCAGTAGTAGTAGTAGTTTAGTGGTCATACAAAAAGTACAATAATAAGATATACGCAACTGTCCACATGGTTGGGTAGTGGAACCAGTTCACTTGACTGTATTTACTCTAGGGCATGGAACCAGTACATAATTCGTAAAATTAGTCGGAGAACCAAAGCTATCGTCTCCGGAAAATTATCAATGGAGAAATTCATTGCAATTGCAATTTCTCTTTCTCATTCATCACGGGGTTCTTAAACATTTTCGTCCTTGTATTATCTTCAAGATGAAAGAATACACATGTATAGTCGGCCAAAAATGTGGTCACAATCGACATACAAAGCTATAATGAATATTTCCACACATACAACCCGTCATTATCCACAAAAAATTATGAAAAATTTGGGATTTCCTGATCTAGGAATAACATCGTTTTTACAAGTGACAAGCATTTTGAAAAGCAGCTAGTTAGGTACAAAAACAAACCATTCGGACATTATTTAAAATACATATGCTAGATGAGTAGGTGCAACTCGAAACATTAGGAGTTTTTTCGAGACATCAATAGCTTTGACACCAACAGCTGTGGCGATCATAGCCCTGGCAAAAAGAACTGTGGCGCCAACCGTTGTGGCACCAACAACAGAGGCACTACCAGCTGTGGCACCAACAACAACGGCACTACTAGCTGTGGCACCAAAAACAACGGCACTACCAGCTGTGGCACCAACAACAACGGCACTACCAGCTGTGGCACCAACAGCTCAGCACCAACAACAGTGACACCAGTTACTAAAATTAAGGAGAATGACCATCGTAATACTTATCAAGAAAAGTCGACATTTTACTAGGTGCTTTTGTGCTTGATAGCGAAGTTCGTCCGTGACTGGAAAAAATTCGCAACAGAGAGCAAGCAACACCAGGCTATTTCATGGCGACGTGACGGTTATCAACACATCAGACAAGGTCATAGTCAAACATTTTGAGAAATCCAGCATAAAATAGGTACAGCTAACTGTCCCTAGAAATAACAGCACTAAAAATTTATCAGGTAACAAACTAGGAATTAATTTAATTTAATTTAAATTAAATTTGAAGTAACATCCATCTTGTTAACCGCAACAAAATTAATCGTTTACCGGTATCCACACGGCACAAACTAGATGCACTTAAGGGGACCGACTACCCTCCGGAAAAACTTCTACAGTTATTATCCGATCATCATGAAACTTCACATACATACGTAAAATGTAAAAAAAATAACATTTTGCCCATATGAATTTTTCGAAAAAATTGATAGAAAACGTGAAATTCATAGAAAACGGCTAAAAAGGGGTACTTTAGAAAATCTATCTCATCCTACAAATATCATCCTACAACATCGAGACACATATCATTCGGTTCGTAAGGACCATACCTATAGATTTGATGATCATTTTTCTCATTTTCCCCTTAGTTTCTTTATTATGCCCGTTTTATCCCATTTTTCTAATTTTTTCTCATTTTTCCCCCCTTCTCCCTCATATAAAAAACGAACCAGACAGAAATTCAAAAAAATTATCATCAGTTCTATAGGTATGGTCTTTACGAATCGAATGGTATGTCTCATTGCTGTAGCTTGAAAACTGTAGGAGGAGATAGGTTTGCCGTGCAACCAATCGGAGGTCTTCAGGACGCCCAAAAAACTGCCGGGCGGCACGTAAAATGACGTAAAAGAGTCGAAACGTAGCTAACTTACCGCAACCAAGCCTTAAAACTAAGTGAGGAAGGCATAGAGCGAGTGGCTGCACACCTTTCACCTCGCTGTCATGATGGGCCCTGAAAGACCTGGCTGTATCTGGCAGTATATCAAGTCACGCCCCGTAATTAATGCCTTAGGAATTTGTTAAGGCCGCCCCCCACCGCCCCCCGTTCCATGGGGCGTGGTGAACGTAAAAATGGAGGTAGAAAGATGATTCTGCTACCAATGGAATCGTCAGAAAGTAAGCTTTAAGATGAGTATAAGCACCGGATAATGCAATGATTGGCCGCTTTACGTCAGACGTTCCTTTTTAGTGTGTCCACCCTTCTAATTAATCCCATAGGCTTTAGTTAAGGGCTCTAAAAACTCCCTCCCTTTGGGGGGCTGTTACGAAATCATTTTTCGACGTAGAGGGATGATTCTGGTACGGTTGGATGCGTCAAAAACTAAGCTTTAAGATGAGCACAAAAACCGGAAAACGCCAAAATTGAAAATTCTAGGGTAGTCGGTCCCCTTAAAGCATGCACATATATTTAGCCTTGTAACTCTTAGCTTACATCATAAATTAGCTAATAATTTAAAAGCAAAAAAAGAAAATGGGAAGGAAATTCATCAAAATTTAACTGAACGAGCCGCATTCTCCATAATGTCATACATAACTGATTCAATTATTACATACAATTGATGAGGATACAAATTTTAAAGTAATTTTTGTACGTGTGTTACATGCCAAGTTGTGATAACAAAGTTCTTATTCTGAAAAAAATATCGATGACATAAGAGTACCTTTACATATCCAATTTGTCAGTTCTATTTGCCGCTCAGTACTTATATAACTGGCGCTATCTATATCTATAGAACACTATCGGTTCCCTGAAGTAAGAAACACAAATTTCATTCCATACTCAACAAAATTTGCGAATCTGAGTATAAGATCCTATTCTTCAAGCAAAGAATTTAATTATGACAACAACTCTTACAATTAGTTTCCAAGGTCGTTCAGGGTTCACATTTGAAATAAATATATTAGTTATTTCCTACTGCACGGCAGAATATAACCTCTCCAGCCTGGTTGAGTGGGCCACCCACATCAGCTCTGCGCCTGGTTGAGTGGGCTACCCACATCAGCTCTGCACCTGGTTGAGTGGGCTACCCACATCAACTCTGCGCCTGGTTGAGTGGGCTACCCACATCAGCTCTGCACCTGGTTGTGTGGGCTACCCACATCAGCTCTGCACCTGGTTGAGTGGGCTACCCACATCAACTCTGCGCCTGGTTGAGTGGGCTACCCACATCATGTCTCTTATACACATCTAGATGTGTATAAGAGACAGTAACATGGCANATAAGGCTATAAGTAGGTAGTCTTTAACTATTTGACTACTTGTTATATATTGATTACAATATACAATTTAAATGTGTTAGATAGCTTATTATACAGGGTGGGCCAGAACTGATTAAACAGTTTTGAGGCGAAATAAAAGAGAAATGGAGGTACACGAAGAAGAAAGTTAATTTTCCTCAAGATTAGCATCTGTCTCTTATACACATCTAGATGTGTATAAGAGACAGCAACACACCTGAGGACCTTGATGGCCTCATCAACACACCTGAGGACCTTGATGGCCTCATCAACACACCTGAGGACCTTGATGGCCTCATCAACACACCAGAGGACCTTGATGGCCTCAGCAACACACCTGAGGACCTTGATGGCCTCATCAACACACCTGATGGCCTCATCAACACAACTTAAGGCGTTGATTGCCTCATCAAAACGCCTGATGGCCTCACCAACACACCTGAGGACCTTGATGGCCTCATCAAAACGCCTGATGGCCACACCAACACACCTGAGGACCTTGATGGCCTCACCAACACACCTGAGGACCTTGATGGCCTCATCAACACCTGATGCAGACACGACGTCGTCCAGTTTATTTGTGTTCTCCACAAGCAGCGCCGCAGAAGCTCGTGCTGCGGCTGCTTCCTTAGCTGCTGTTGCTGCAGCCGCTGCTTCTGATTGCTGCTTCTGCTGCTGCTCAGCACAAGAATTTGTCAGCACTGATTTGAATTGATATAAAAAATCACAGTTAAACCATGGGATTAAAACTTATTAATGCTTTGGTACTTCATCCAATAGAAATTTCAATGTGAGGTGAAGCCCACAGAAAATATGTTTAGTTAAACAACAAATAGTGATGAAATAATCAAGATAAATCAAGCAAAAACATGAAGAAATCCTGTATTTTTTCCTCTTTCTTCTGCCATACGAGTGGAAGGCACAGATTATTTTTAATTGCATCATTTGATTCTAGTATGACAATCACAGCTCAACAATGGTTTCATAATAGGACAAATAGAATCAATTTTTGCCATAGGGTAGTGCATATATGTGAATAAATATTAAAAAATCCATAAAGAGAATTGATTATTGTACGACAATCACAGCTCAACAATGGTTTTATAATAGGACAAATAGAGTCAAATTTTGCCATAGGGTAGTGCATATATGTGAATTATTAAAAAATTCATAAAGAGAATTTTTTTATGATTTGGTTTTCTAATTCAAACATTACTTATCACTGCAGCTTATAAAAATTATTTTTCATTGTTACTGTGAGGTAAGGACACCTTGCTTGCAAAACAATTCTGCGTCTAACCTGCACTTGGAACCTGGTGACTTTGGCAGGTGGTGGAGGTTTGCCAGCAACACCCCCAACTGACGCAGCCTCCTGCTCCGCCAGCAGTCTAATCTCTTGCTTGCGCTGTAGCTCCTCCAGACGCTTCTTTTCCCGCTCTTCCTGTAAGAATAAATCAACCTTATAAAACTTGATGATATCTACTTTGAATAGACTTGTTAAATCTATTGGTTACTGTTTATTTCAGTTTTTATTGTTATCTTTCCCAACAGATTGGATGATTTACAGTAGATTTACTGATCTAGATTTCACTACAGCAATGATTCCCATGTATAAAATTCATTCCATCGCAGATGGTTGTTTCTACCACCAATTGTTTACAGGTTTTATTGAGGATAGCTTTAATCTTCCCTCTGTATAGTAGAGTTAATGTCCTAGCTTCATTATCATGAGTCAGATGGCATCAGAGTCACTAACTCAATCTTTCACTGATATTAACTACACATACTTGTGCCAGAAAGTTTAAGTTATATCACATTGTTCTCATTCTTGACTAAATTTATTGAATTGTGCTCACTAGATTCTTCAATTTTAACTCAATTTACTAAGTAACAAATAATTTAGTATATTTTTGTATGCCAGGTTCAACTCAAAGAGACCAATATAGTATAATAAAACCTAGTGGGCCTAATAATTCCTTTACTTTATCAAGGCTAAGCTCTATAATTTATTTCATACATCAAAATCTATTTTTCAAATTATTTCACACCTTTTCAGAGTGGCAAAATTTTACAACTTCATTGCTTATTGAAAAACTACACTGCTGACTCTAATAAATATTCTGTTATAAACAATTCCATCAAAAAACACTAGGCACAACATGAAGACTTTTACAAAAAAAAACTGAATGGAAAATAAACTTGTAATTTAGAGTTTAAAAATTTAATGTCATATAACTGTAAATGTTTTTCTGTACCGTCAACCGGGGCTACTCGGGACAAGCGGGGCTACTCGGGACAGGCCACCAACATGGCGTAAAACTGTTGTAGTAGCGAAACTAATTGGAATATTACAAAACTAAAAATAGTGGCGTAAACGTCAACATTTTTCCTATCTATGTAGTATAAAGGAAGTCGAAAAATATTACATTTACTTGCTTTGAAAAATTCCTGAAAAAATGGTGAAAAAATATATTTTGTAAAGTTACAACTGCTAAGGTATGTAGCAAAAAAATATTCGCCGTATTAAAAAATTTTACTTACGTAAAAGTTGCACCCAGGTGTCGGCTTGAAAACATAATTGACAGAATTTGCCTATCTCATTCCAAAAAGAAATGGCAGCCATTTCTGCACGGCGGGGCTACTCCGGACACCCCCAAAAACACATTTACGGGAGAACCTCAGTTAGCAAAGGCTCCAATTGCGAAAAAAATTGATTAAAAACAAAGAATATTGATCACATTTTCCTTGCTCAGCGAAAAAAATTTCACTTATTGAAAAATTTGTGCATCATAGGTCATCACAAAATTGTGCATAGCATGTCATGTATAGAATTGTGCACTAGGCATCATAAAATGAAAAGTAATTGACCTAAACTATGATTTATTTCTCCAAAAGATACGTTGGTTGTCACTGAAACATTCCTTTCTGTTTCAGGTATGTTTTTCACTATCTTTTTTACTATAGTAAATTCACTTAACCCAATTAAAATTATGTAAAATTATGAGCCGTCCTGTAAGCTTACAGATACCAAAAAATGCTATAAGGCTGCTGATATGAAGCTTGCAGTGGACAAGGTTGTTGTAAATGCTCAATGGCATGTTTATGAAATGTTTCATCGTAAGTTAGTTAGTTAGTTTAGTGGCCAAATGTTTACTAGCACTTCAGCTATTTAGCTATCTCGCACCGAAAGTCAAGATGAACATCACCATAGAGGTGGAAGGTCTCAATTATTCATCACCCACAAGGGGCGGAAGGTCTCAATTGTCCAGCCCGCTGAAGCTGGCTCGAAAGAAGCAGCGTTAGCATCTCAAAAGAGACGAAGTGACAAGGAGGGACAGGTGAAAAGCATCAGAAACGAAGACACTCGAACAAGAGGTTGCTTACACGGGATGTCGGCCGCCCGCACGAGAGAGACAGAGAAGGGAAATGTAAGGAATCCTACCTACATAATAACTTAACCCCACAACTGAGACCTACAGACACCGCGAGCTCAGCGGTGGGGTGCTCAGGAACAATCCCCCTAGGAACGCGAAATCCTATAGGACTTCTGATGAGCACAGACACCCATCAGAAGTCCCCCCTGAGGGGTGTTTCATCGTAAGAAGTTATTAACAGTTATTAACAAAACAACGATCAAATCTGTCCCGAGTAGCCCCGGTTGACAGTATGTGAAGACTTCGGCTAGACACACACATTTCTTACTCCATGGCTATTCAACAAGACTTCATGGACAACAGTTCATATCCCATTGTTCAATAAATCACAATTCAAAACCTCATTTTCAGGGATGCCTTCATGTACAAAAAACATAAAATGAAAAAATGTACAAACAATATATAGAGGTCTAATTGTTAAATTCAGCAACTTGGCTTAGCTTCACAGTGTCAATTTGGAAACTCAACAAGGTTTAATCACTCTTATTTTAAAACTGATCTTACTTTGCAAATACAATCATAATTCAATTGATCAAAAACTAAGATGAATTACATAATTATTAAATTATTTGAATACCTCACCTTTCTTTGATTTTTCTTGGCCACATTCTTATCATCATCTTGCCACATGGCATCTTCTGCAGCTTTCACCATCTGTTCTTTGACTGCAGCAGCTTTGGTTGCCTTACGTTCCTTGGCACTAACTGCCTTGGAATTTTCCCCTTTAAACTTTTTAGGCATTTTTTTGGATGAACTTTACTAAAACTAATCTATCTCACTAGCCACAAAATGAACTTAAATTGCAATTAATCTAATTTAGGGTGTACATAGACTAAAATCTGATGTCAAACAGGATTTATTGAATGACAATGAATTTCCATGTAATTCTTGGCAAAAAAACGCCTCCCTGCAAAGCAGAAGAAAAATTTATGGAAGTGGAATAAAAAGATAAGTTATAAAATACAAGGAAATCACTGTTGTTAAAAAATCAAGTTTTAATAATTGCATCATAAATCATTAGAGGATTCATATTATGGGAGAAGTATTTATAGACAAGAGACACCTTTTATCTCTATCAGTCCCCCACCTAGAAGTCGGCATCCACAGTTTTGTCTTCAAACCGTGTAGGGATCTTCAGCTTATGAAGCAAGAACTTTGCCTGAGTTTGAACTGAGCTGAGATGCTCAGCTAGTTCTTCTTCAGAATTACGTCCCAATGCAAGCCACATCCGATGGTTGCTTAGATCATCCAAAACTCTGTTCAATGAAGCCTGTTGTCTTGTAGTCAATACTTTGTGAACAGCACATCTACCATTTGAAATTTCTTTACCATCAAGGGATGGATTTTCAGTCGTTACAACCGAGGTAGCAGCAGTGGCCTGGGTGCTCATTTCATCTTGCACTGGCTCTGTCTCGCACTGGCAGTTGAGTGAAAATGCAGACAATATGGCATACAATGAACCTATTTCATGCAATACATGAGCTGCTTGCTGCCATCCTTTAACATACCCATCAGTGTATTGCCTTTCCTTCCCAGCCCTGGTCCCATGAGTCTCCCCTAGGATTGAGTGATCTTGTTCAAGAGCCTCTACTGCATCAAATAAGTCATCACTCATCTTAGTTGGAGTGCTGCAAATCAGGGAAGAACATTAGCAAACATTAAAATCTGTGTAAGAAATATATGACAGTAATATAATTTACATTACAATATGAGCCAATACTTGAAATTAATTAATATTTCTATAGCAGAGAAAGGGTCTGAAAGTATCTTTTCAAGTAACTAGTTGTTGCAGGAGTTACTTGACTTGCAATCTTATTCATAACAAGACTTTGAGGTATGGTATATATTTTGACGAGATGAATGTTCAAGAAAATAAAGCCAAAGTGGAAAACTGCTATTAAATACAGAAATTGTAAGGCTCATCAATGAAATATTGTGAAAAAAGATAGTGAAAAAGTGGCATCAAAACAAAGCACAGCTGAGCAAAAAATAAAATAAGTCATCTTCTTAGTAAACAAGGTGACCAGACTGATAGGCAAGGGACAACAATGGTGGAGGTTGTCATTTCATTACATATGTTAAAAAAGACTGCTCAAGTGCAAATTCAGTGGTGAAAACACTTCTCCATATTTTGCAATTTACAATCAATATGGCTAAAGACAAATAAAGTGTAAAAATAAGATTTACTAAAATATTGCAGTGCCACGATCACTTCAATTATGGTGGCAATGAAATCTTACCGCTCTAAAGTCATGGTTTGATTGAAATATTGTGGCTAGTAATTGTCAGATTTCATGAAATTTTCAACTTTTGCAGTTCAGTAAAGTTGATCAATTCTGGAGAGGTATTATATAAACAGGTTTATACATGTCTCATATTGGATTGTAAAACATGAAACCAGGCATTTCTTATATAATGCAGCTAATATTTTGGCACTGAGCAAGTTAACAGGCTGGATTAATCTTTAATGTATGAACCAACACCCCATGAATTTCTTCTTTTATAATCAGTACCACACTCATATCAAAATATCCTGCACTCTGGCCAGGGTGCAGATCTTTGGAAACACACAAGCAGGGTTGGCATTGATTAAATCAAACTGATTAAATTATGTGATTAAATCATTTGATTTTTTTACAAAAAAATTATGATTTTTTATTTTTTTTTTCAATTTTTTTGATATTTTTATACATTTAAATATATTGAGTGGCAGTCTTTAATTTATTTTGAGGTATTGTTATTCATGGTTTAGTATAAATGTACTATGACAAATTGGAATATAAACTTGTTGCCTTTAATGTGTATTAGGTTCCAATGAATTGTATGTTTTTGGTGTAGTGGCATCAAGTGTTGCAATACATTGTACATACCTGGCATATTAGCTAATTCTCATAAGGCTATAAGTAGTCTTCAACTAACTATTTGACTATTTGTTATGTATTGATTACAATATACAATTTAAATCTTTTAGCTAGCTTATACATATGGTGAGGCAGAGCCAATTGAGCAGTATTGTGGCAAAATAAAAGAGTATTGGAGGTACATAAAGAAGAAAGTTTATTTTCCTTGAGGTTAGCATAACATACCATTTAGAATATACTTATGTTTTGAGAACAATATTTTGAAGATGGTGGGCGTTAGCTGCAACACACTGTTGGAGTTGTTCTCGGAAGAGGGAGTAACCATGACAGTGAATTCCAATTGCTATGCTGCAATGTTGCAAATTTCTTGCAGCCCAGGATGGAAAACATATTGAAAATGAAGCATTGGGACAGGGTTAGCAATGATTAAATCAAAATGATTAAATCATGTGATTAAATCACTTGATTTTTTTATAAAAAAATCATGATTTTTTTTTATTTTTTCGATTTTTTGATTTTTTTTTTCATATATTTAAATATATTGAGTGTCAGTCTTTAATTTATATTGAGATATTGTTATTCATGGTTTAGTATAAATGTACTATGAATGACAAATTGGTACATAAACTTGTTGCCTTTAGTGTGTATTAGGTTCCAATAAATTGAATGTTTTTGGTACAGAGGCATCAAGTGTGCAAGACTTAGCTAATTCTTATAAGGCTATAAGTAGGTAGTCTTTAACTATTTGACTACTTGTTATATATTGATTACAATATACAATTTAAATGTGTTAGATAGCTTATTATACAGGGTGGGCCAGAACTGATTAAACAGTTTTGAGGCGAAATAAAAGAGAAATGGAGGTACACGAAGAAGAAAGTTAATTTTCCTCAAGATTAGCATAGCATACCATATATATATAAAATACTTATGTGTTGAAAACAATATCAGGAAGATGTGTCCGTTAGCTGCAACACACTGTTGGAGTCGTTCTCGGAAGTTTTCTACAGCAAATTCACAGCCTTAGCTGTGGTAGGGTGTGAGGGCAACTTCTGAACCCCTTTCTTTTAGATGTCCCCAAAGAAAGAAATCACAAATGCTCAAATCAGGTGACCTTGCAGGCCACTGTAAATCACCCCTCAGAGTCTGGGAACATGTGTTTCAAAACATTGAGTGACATTCGGGCTGTGTGAGCTGTAGCCCCATCCTGCTGGAACCACATGTCTCCCAATGTTTCATTTTCAACAATGTTTTCCATCATGGGCTGCAAGAAATTTTGCAACATTGCAGCATAGCGATCAGAATTCACTGTTACGGTTACTCCCTCCTCTGAGAATGACTCCAACAGTGTGTTGCAGCTAACGGCCCCCATCTTCCAGATATTGTTTTCAAAACATAAGTATTCTCAATGGTATGTTATGCTGACCTCTAGGAAAATGAACTTTCTTCTTTATGTACCTTCATTACTCTTTTATTTTACCTCAAAATTGCTCAATCGATTCTGCCCCACCCTGTATATTGAGAGGTTGAGATTGTATTGACCTTTTAGGCAATTAGAATGATTTTTCACCCTAATACGAGTATTCTAATTAAAATATTTAATTTCAATCTTTAAATATGTGAATTTAAAACTAGAAACAAAACAATTACAACTATAAGACTATATATAAAATATATATAGAGAGGGTAAAGTATAAAGTGTATAGAAGGTAGAGTCTGGTAGATTTATAGGACATAAAACTAGTAGATCTATTGATAGTGCTGTGCACTGTGCTATCAGCTACCTATCTGTTATGTGACTCTTCAATGTTTAGAAGATCTGCATTCCTGAAGTGTTTTTGTATAGTGAAGCCAGTTAAATGGTCAATATTTAGCTTGTTACCTTGCTCCATACAAACTTTACAAAGCTAATGAATAGACTTATCAATAATTGTTTACCCAAAAATCCCTAAGTGGTAAACACCACCTTGTCCATTATTGAAGGCAATAAGTGCCCTTTTTAGCCATCCATTATGACCTATATACTGTTATTGTTAGTAGGCTAATTGCAACATAAAAAATAACACTTCAAAAAGACAAAAAAGCTGAAAAAATCAAATAAATCAAAAAAATCATGAAAAAATCAAAAAAATCATTGATTTTTTATTTTTTTGATTTTTTTTTTAAATCAAAAAAATCACCAACCCTGCATTGGGAGACGTTTGGTTCCAGCAGGATGGGGCTACAGCTCACACAGCCTGAATGTCACTCAATGTTTTTAATCGCATGTTCCTGGACTCTGAGGGGTGATTGACAGTGGCCTGTGAGGTCACCTGATTTGAGCATTAGCAATTCCTTTCTTTGGGGACATCTAAAAGAGTGGGTGTTCAGAGGGTGTGAGGGGGTCCCTCACACCCTACCACAGCTAGGGGAATGGATTATTGCAGATGTTATGGCCATACCTTGCCATATGTGTGAACCAGTGAACGTGCTGCAGGAAACTTCCGAGAACAACTCTAACAGTGTTATGCAGCTAATCGACACCAATCACACCATCTTCCTATTCCTAATATTGTTTTCAATACCTAAGTATTTTAAAGGGTAATATGTTATGTTCAGCTAACTTCAAGGAAAATAAACTTTCTTCTTCATGTACCTCCATTACTATTTTATTTTGCCTCAAAACTGCTCAATCGGTTCTGCCTCAGTGGCCTCACCATGCATAAGCTAGCTAACACATTTAAATTGTATATTGTAATTTGTAATTAATATATAACAAATAGTTAAAGACTAGGTACTTAGGCAGCAGTTAGGCCTATAGCCTTATAAGAATTAGCTAAGCTGCTAGCTAGCTATGTACAATGTATTGCAACACTTAATGCCTCTGTACCAAAAACATACAATTCACTGGAACCTAAAAGCAAAGAAAACGCCAAGAAAATTCACCATATCGATATTGAAAACGTTTCGGAGTCCAGCTCCATCATCAGTTCGACTAAACTAAAAATGAATAAAATCACTTTATCGAACTGATGATGGAGCTGGACTCCGAAACGTTTTCAATATCGATATGGTGAATTTTCTTGGCGTTTTCTTTGCTTTTAAATTCCTTGTGAACTTGCGATATAAGCAGACTAATGATATAAGTACTCACTGGAACCTAATACACATTAAAGGCAACAAGTTTATAGTCAAATGGGGTAAGACAGGATCGCAGCCATCATGGGGTAAGAAAGGACCGGCCCATGGCGTGCATTCTAATTGCACTGAATTCAATTTGACAAAAGAATATGTTAGAACAATCATTGCCTGTCATTGCAGTGTTTGTGGCAACCCTCTTCTGCAAATAATGAATTTCTGGCTAATTTTTAAAGAAAACCTATGGAAAGAAGGGTCACAAAATAGTTAACCCTGTTTGGGAAATAAGCTCTGTCTAATGACAAAAAATTTTTTGGCCAGGTTTGTGGATGTAGGCAGGTAACCTCAAGTAATAGGCAACTTTTTAGACATACTAGGCATTCCTACCTGCTACCATCACTGCCTGACATGCATTCTAGAATGGGGTAAAAAAGGACCGGACATGGGGTAAGACAGGACCACTAAATGATCCTGTTTTACCACACAAGTGGTCCTATCTTACCCCACAACTGGTCCTGTCTTACCCCACAAATGGTCCTCTATTACCCTACAGTTTATCAAAAATAGTTTTTAAATGAATATATTATTGTGTAGGTAGTTCATGGAGTATTTTGGTCAAAATTTTCATCTTTTGCTCAAACTTCATTATAACTTGTTAGCTTTTTTAATTAGAGAAATTTAGTGCACTAT